AAGGAGAGAGAGAGAGAGAGAGAGAGAGAGAGAGAGAGAGAGAGAACAAGAGAAAGAATGAGAGACGAGAGAATGATAGAGTACAAAAGATAGAGAACGGGTTTTCACTCGGGCGGGTTCAAGCGGGCGTGATGCCCGCCCATTAAGTGCCCTTTTATCCTATTTTCAATGTATACCCGCTCATTTATGCTCATTTAACTAAATGAGTGGGTTATGGACGGGCTGAGTGGTGGGCGGGCTGGGCGGGCAATTGGGCATGGGCCATAATTGCCATGTCTAATGAAGGAGTAGTTATATAAAGTTAATGCAGACAAAAAAAAATTAAAACATTCCATGCGTATTTCACATGCCAAGTTACATTATATTCTTTGAGATATAATAATTTCAAAAAAATGTGTTGAGCCCTCAAAAAAAAAATTGATAAAACATTGTATTATTTTCATTATGTATTTACCTCCAACATAATGGCTTTTTGTGCTTTAGTCTCTTCTATACCGCCAATTTAGTAACGAGCAATTAAATCTAGCTTTTCCTTCTATCTTCTGTTGACGCCTGTAGCTAAATCTGAAATAAAACAAATAAATTTGTTTAGATAGCTGAAGTGTTATATTTTTAAACCTTTTTCAAGTTTAGCTGATGTGCGTTTATGAAACGCTATGCTTAAAGTAATTTTTGGCCTACTCCAGTGCAAGGATCCCAATGTCAAACTGCTTTCAGGAACAGCAATATAGTACACTGGTGTGCACCGACCAAGTACTGTCAAGATCTCCTCGATCTATAAGACCTTTCGGTCAAGGCATGCACCGACCAAGTACTGTCAAGATCTCCTCGATCTATAAGACCTTTCGGTCAAGGCAAAGATCTCCTCGATCTGTTAAACCTTACTGTCAAGATCTCCTCGATCTATAAGACCTTTCGGTCAAGGCAAAGATCTCCTCGATCTGTTAAACCTTACGGTTCAAAACCTTTCGGTTCAGGCAAAGATCTCATTGATCTATTAAACCTTTCGGTTAAGGCAAAGATCTCATCGATCTGTTAAACCTTATGGTTCAAAACATTTCGGTTCAGACAAAGATCTCCTTGATCTGTTAAACATTTTCGGTTCAAAAAAACATTTCGGTTAAGATAAATATCTTTTGATCTGTAATAACCTTTCGGTTAGGGCTTTGTTCCTTCAGGCACAGACTAAAATTTGCACGCTTTCAAACTCTGCAACAGCAGCACAACAGCTTAAACACTTCAATGTGTTTTTCGTATCTTCAGAGTTGCTCCAAGTGGCTATATTTATAGGTCTCTAAGGTTAGCTCAAGGGTCATTTGACTGTTATAAATCGTAATGACAATTATGAATATTGTAATAGCAAATGACTTAATTGTTATAACCGCGCGCTGCATGCAGTTTTAATTGCTGCATAAAGAAACGTCTCAACGCGAGGGTCGCGTTACTATGCAACACGAGGGTCGCTACCAGTCTCGTGCGAACGCGAGGGTCGTGTTCCCTCTTGCGAACGCGAGGGTCGTGCGAACTGTGAACGCGAGGCTCGCCCGCAGCTTGCGAAGGTAGCCTGCGAACACAGGACCTTTTGAAACACCAAAACTTTAACTTTCCACTACGCTATGAAGGATTTCTGAAAAATATCCGTAGTTAATAAATACATAGTTTGAAAAGTCATTATTGAAAAGCGGTTTTGACCAAAAAAATCCAACCTCTTCAATTCCTCTCCCCAGTCCAACCTTAAACCCTAACCCTAACGCCATGAAGAAGCTGCATCATCAACTTGATGGGTTTGAGAGGTTGGGGAGGGAATTTGGATGGGTTTGAAGGCTTGATATTATAGTTAGGATGAGAGGTTGCTGGTACATGATTTATATGGCTCCGAGGAGCTTGAGTTGATCTTCTTCATGGAAGAGAAAAGCCGTCGCCAGAGACCGAGTTTGATTTTGTACGTGCGTTTAATTAATGGTTTGATTTTAGGACGTAATTTGAGTTCTCTTCTTCATGACAACACCCTATAAACATAGAAAGAGATGAAAGTATGGAACCCCAAAGTAAAGTAGAGAGGAGAAGAATAGCAATTAATAACATAACAACAAATAAATACACCAGCAGTAAAAAGATCAATAACAATATTTCCTCCTCTTTCTGCTGTCTA